TATGTATGTATGTATGTATGTATGTATGTATGTATGTATGTATGTATGTATGTATGTACGCTCGCGTCGAGCCAGGAAAGCACGGTTAAGAGCTGAGTAGTTAGATCTGGGGTGATGGGAGGTGTCTTTTTTTTTCTCTGGAACGGCCCCCAAAACAGGAGGGGGCCTGAGGCCTGATTAGCAAAAGGGAGCCGGATGTGTTCCCCTTAATCCCCGAATGAAAACAACTCCCCCCTCCCCAAGAAAAGCAATCTAAATAAGTTTTTCTTTTGTAAATCCGAACCTTGTCCTGCGACGGCCAGTTGGTCTAAATAATATTAGCAAAGGGGTGGGGTGGTGGTGGGGGGTGAGGGCAGAAAAGGGCAGGGGCGGAGAAGTCAGGGTGGCCGGAGCCCCGCGGTCCGGAGGACACCCTCTCAGGCCCACGCCCTTGCCACCCCCACCCACGCACACTCACGCCCTCCCTGGCCCCGGCGCCCGGCTCCAGCGTGGGGCCGGGGGGTCTCCCGGCAGCGGGAGGAGCCCTCGGGGGCCACCCCACGGGATGCCAGCGGCCGGCCGGCGAGGAGTCGCGCTTCCCTCGGTCCCTTTGTTGACAATTTCCCCCGAACCAACTTGAGTTTGGCCGGCTCCGCCGCGGCCCTGACGTCACGCTCGGTCACGTGGCCCCGCCTCCCCCTGGATCTTTAAGTAGAAAGTAATCTATCAGGGCCAGTCCTTAAAACGGGACTTTCGACTACCCGGGCTCGGCGATCCCCGTCACCCCCAGACCCCCCACCCCCGCCGTCGCCCCTCGCCCGCGCCCCTCCGGGGTCCCGCGCCCGGCGCCCGGGCGTCCCCGCGCTCGCCTGCCCGCACCGCTCCCGAGCACCCGCGCCCCGACCCGGAGGCCGAGGGACCGAAGGGGGCGCGGCGCGGACCCAGCCTCCGGGGGCGCGAGCGGCGGCCGTCGCCCGGCCTGGCACGGGAGCGCCGGTCGGGGGAGAGCGCAGGAGTTGGCGGCGGCGGCGGCGGCGGCGGGCGGCGCGCGATGCGGGGCCTCCGGGCGTGAGCTGCCCCGGGAGGGCCCCGGGCTCCCCCGTGCCGCGTCCCCTCCCTCCCCTCCCCCGCTCCGCTTGTCCTCGTCGGGGGGCGCGGGCACCCCACCCCCTCCATCCCCGAGACCGCCACCGCCACCGCTACCCCCCACCCCACCCCCCCGGCGCGCCGCCGAGCCCCGCGGAGGGATGACCCTCTCCGGCGGCGGCAGCGCAGGCGACATGTCCGGCCAGACCGTGCTGACGGCCGACGACGTGGACATCGATGTGGTGGGCGAGGGCGACGACGGCCCGGACGGGGGCAAGGACAGCGACGCGGGCTGCTGCGACAGCCCCGCGGGGCCGCCGGAGCCGCGCCTGGACGAGGCGGACGACGGGCCGCCGCCGGCCACCCATCCTCCCCATCCCCATCCTCCCCATCCCCGCGCCCAGCCTCAGCCTCCGGCCCCGTCGCTGCCCGCCGAGGTGGGCCCGGGAGTCGAACCGGCGGGAGCCCCGGAGGCCGACGGCTGCAAGGGCGGCGGCGAGGACGCGGGGCCCGGCGGCGGCGGCGGCGCGGCGGCGGGGCTGGCGCCCAGCAAGCCCAAGAACAGCCTGGTGAAGCCGCCCTACTCGTACATCGCGCTCATCACCATGGCCATCCTGCAGAGCCCGCAGAAGAAGCTCACCCTGAGCGGCATCTGCGAGTTCATCAGCAACCGCTTCCCCTACTACCGCGAGAAGTTCCCGGCCTGGCAGAACAGCATCCGCCACAACCTGTCCCTCAACGACTGCTTCGTCAAGATCCCCCGCGAGCCGGGCAACCCGGGCAAGGGGAACTACTGGACCCTGGACCCGCAGTCCGAGGACATGTTCGACAACGGCAGCTTCCTGCGCCGCCGGAAGCGCTTCAAGCGCCACCAGCAGGAGCACCTGCGCGAGCAGACGGCGCTCATGATGCAGAGCTTCGGGGCCTACGGGCTGGCGGCGGCGGCGGCGGGCGCGGCGGGGCCCTACGGCCGCCCCTACGGCCTGCACCCCGCGGCGGCGGCGGCGGCGGCG